TGGCAGTTTGCGCAGACGGCGGTTAACTTGTCGCTTCCTTCTCTTTAGTTGAAGAATGCAGTGGAAAGAATCGACTAAAATAGCTCGTGCACTTTTTCGGGTCCCACAAGGCACGGCGACTCTCATGACAGCCGGTTCTGCGCACTGATTTCAATCAGCAAAGCGCTGTCACTCTTTCGGTCAACAGGTAATCTAAAATTAATAATTCCCTTCGAGGAGTATTCGGAAACTGATTAGGTTGTATTTAAGCAGTACTTGCTTGCATTTATATGCTTAATTTTAACCCTATAATATTTTCTTTTACTTTTTTGTGGTTATTTTTATAAATAAGTATATTTTATTTGAAGAATTTCATAAATAAAAAAATCAAAAAATTTTTTTTCTAAATTTTATATGTATTAGTTAGATTATAATTTAAGGTGAAAATAAAATATTCAAACTTGAATTTTGCTTTCTACTTGACTTATCTGCGGTCGTATTTGCAGGTACCACTTTTTATGTTATCTCATTCCCCTGCCAATAATTTAATAATCTTATCATATCTAAATTGCGTTTGGTCAGCCCAATTTTTGGACTTGTTGCTCGGGCTTTTAACGCAATGAATATAAATTGATTGGTATACCCATTAATGGGTTTTATATTGAGATGATAAAATTTGCCCTTGAAGCTATCAATATAGAAGTAATTTTGAAATAATTTTTAAAACTGAGTTTTATTTAATTACAGGTTTTTTTTAAATTTATTTCATAAAAAATCTTAAGAGAAAAGAAATTAATTGTTTGTGGAAAAAAAATAATTATAACTCACCGTTAAGGGTCTGATTGGTTGTTGTATATGTATGGATAGATTGCCTTATTATATAACTGTTCCCGAAAAAGTTTGCTTATCACATACTACAATATATACACTCGGATTCAATATCTCTACCACACATAACCACATCTATATGTATGTGTGTATGTATCTACAGATAATTTTTAACACAAACTCATCAACGATAAATTAAAAAAAATATACCACATCTATATGTATGTGTGTATGTATCTACAGATAATTTTTAACACAAACTCATCAACGCTTGTGGAATTTTGTGACAGTCATAAATATTGACTAAAGCAATATAAGAGTACAATTTCCCGCTGAGCACCTTGCCGCCGTTCGGCGCTCGGCTATCGACTTTGATTCCAACACTTTACATCAGCCGTTGATTGTTTTTTTGCACCTGCAGTTGTTATTGTTGCAGTTGTACTTATTTCAATTGCTCATATGACTATTAAGTAGCTGCAAAGTACATACATTTACTTATCTGCTCTGTATAATTATGTACTCAAAGGTAGGGCCGCTTGTCGCATACTTTACTCCACTTTTTGTTTGTACATTTTTGTTTTTGTTATCTGTTTTCTATTTTTTGTAATTAAGCGTTTTTATCAAAATGTAAATTATTTACAAAAAAAAAAAAACACGATTTTATTTTGCTTTTTTTTCTCGACTACGTTGTTGTTGGCTTTACCTCGAAATGCTGTTGTGGTATTTTTTATATGTATGTATGTAAGTGAACAGCAAATATAACAACAACAGTGAGCTCACGCTTAAAATTCCAAAATGATAAGAGTAAGCCGCAATCAAAAACGAAAAATTATTTTAAAGGTTGCTTTTTGCGAATTTGGTTTTAATTAGATTTTCTGAAAGTTTTGTTCTCTTTAATAATTAAAAGAAATTTACCTACATATGCATATATTATGAATTTATGATTGTTTTATTTTGAAATTATAAAAGTAAGAGTGAAAAATTCAAAAAATTCCGTACTTTACTGGTTCAATAAAAATGATTTTTCTATTGAATAAATGAATAAAAAATACATACTTATTTAAGGCAAATATCTTATCTTGATATATAGTAGATCTGGAAAAACAATGAGAAAAACCATTTTTAGGTAATTCAAGCGTACCAAATATCAATCATTTTGAAATATCGTATAGTGCATTTTTTATTTCTTTATTTATTTTTTATTTAATTTGTCATCTTTTTTTTATTGATTTGTCTTTATCATTTTATTTTAATATTAATATTATTATTTAAGTTTTAGTTTGTAGTTGAAGTTTATTTGATTAATTTTTTGGTTTAGTTTGTGTTTATTTAAATTTTATTAATAATTATCATTATTTTTCTTTTTTAATTTTATAATTATTTTAAATTTTATTATTATTTTGTTTATTGATTATTTATTTATTTATTACTTTATGCATATCGTTTTATTATTTATTTTATTTACACATTTATTTATTTATTTTTCTCCTTTTTAATAGGTTTATTTAGTTAATTAAATATGTTGTTATAATTTGTTTTTACTTTGTTAATATATTTTTTTCTGTTTTTTGTCACTATCAATAATTTTTCAACTTTGTTGAATATCATGTTATTTTAGTTTTTTTCACTTAGACATATAATACTATAAATAATTTTTGTCTCTTTAATTTTTTAACATTTATTTTTTTCTACTTATTGTAGTTTTTATTTTTCGCTTTTTATTTCAGTTTGTATTTTTTTTTTCATTCTTAATTTTTTTAATATTTTAAAATTTTTTTTTTTGTATTTTTAATCATTTTTTTATTTTGAACTATTTTTTTTTATTTTGAACTATTTATATTTTTAATTTTGAAGTATTTTTTTGTTTTGAAATATTTTTTTTTATTTTGAAATATTTTTATTATTTATCTTGACATATTTTTTTATAAGAAAATTTTTATTATTTTCAAGTTTTTTATTTTGAAAAATTTTTTTAATTTTAATTTTTAAGTATTTTTTATTATCTTGAAATTTTTTTATTTTGAAGTATTTTTTTTTTTTTTTGAATTTAATATTTTTTATTTTGAAATATTTTTTATATTGCATTTTCATACATCATCATTCATCCAGTCGAACTCGTGACACTCACCTGCTGTTTCACGGCACACACACACACGCATCTACATACAAATACTTTAATACCAAAGCGCGTAGTGCGTGTTACGTCAACCGCAGTTCAATCATTCAGTTGAAAAAAAGTTTATTTGCTTAAACAAACATATGTACGTATATACGAGTACGCTTCATTAAACTGATAAGCGAATTACTGACAAATTAAGATTATATTATATATGTACATATATGTATGTATATACATGCATATATATATAATATACATATGTATTTCCTTTCTCATCGCGATTGCCATTTTATCACAGTGTTTAAAGCACTTTATATACGCAAACGAAATAAATAAAAATATATACGACTCAAATATATATGTACCCATGTATGTATATATGAACAAATGCGAACAAACAAAGTGTAAAGTTATCAATATCAACTTGAAACGGCAAATCAAATTGTCAGTAACGTCCGCTGTTGGCGAAAACTAGGCGCTATTCTCATTTCTTTTTATTTTCTTTACACAAATGCATTTGCATTTAATCTACAGATGTACATACATATGTATATATATGTATCTATACACCGGTATAAAGTCACTTAGTCATTCGCCTGTGATTTTCTACATTCAATTTACATAAATATAAGTGAGAACTTTTTGCTGTTATCGCGCCGGCTCGTGTGGTCACGTGGTGATGTACGGAGATCACTGCCGGCTGATCATTGCTCAATAGTGTTGTTGTTGTATTTTTTAAATTAATTGTTTTATATTTCTATTTCTATTCCATGCTCGGTTTATTGCAAATATTTGCGAATTCATTAAGTACCACAGCTATCATTGTACTTTAATTAGCGTATTTGGCTGTTAATATTTGTGTAAATATTTGCTCTCGTTGTCAATGTTATAACTGTTGTTGTTATTCAGTTTAGTGGCAGTAAATGGCAATGAAAATGTAGACGTTGTCGTTGAGGTGAAGCTTAAGTGTTTAATTGTGGAAACTTTTTCGCCTCGTTTCTGCTTTACGATGTCGATAATAAAATGTTTTGAATTATGTCCAATTACAAAATTAATTTATTATATTTTTTTATTTTTTTTGTGTAAAAATATTGGCAGAAATAGGTTATATTGTTTTTGTTGTTCTTTGTTTTACTTTTAAAAACTGAAAGGTTTTATTTGAAAAATATTAGTTATCTTTGTTTAATTAATAATTAATGTATTTGAATTAATCTAAATTTATTACATTTCTTTTAACACACGTATATTTAATTTAATTTTTTAATATTTTATTTTGTGCTTTAATTAATTTTTATTTTCATTTTCATCATCCTAATGTTTAGTTTGGTTTATATAAAAAATAGAAAGAAGAGCTGTCTTTATATCTTTTATGACCATATCAAATTTATGGTACTTCATTTAATATAATAAATAAATAAATAGATTAATAATATTTATTCTCATATTTGAAAAATTGACTGAAGGGCGCTTGTTTATAGTATATAATTTTCGATTTCGAGCATTTTCGCTGCCAATGTGTCAATGTTTATTTGTATATATGGATGTTGAATACCCGATTTCATACTTTTAGATATTTTTTTTGACGAAGTCTTGGCCAAAGTCTCTTATTTGAAAAAAAAAAAAAAAAAAAAAACGGTGCATAGGAGTTGAGTGTTATAGCCGTCCAATTTCGATCATTTTCTGCACCAATGTGCTTTTTCGAGAAATTTATGATTCAAAGCCTCCGCTGTGATAATGGATTTTATTTTATTTTATTTCGTTCATTGTTCTATTAATTAAATTTTTATTTTTTGAACTCATTTTTTCTTCATTTTCTTTTACTTCTTTAAATTTTATTCTATTTGGTTTTATTTGATTTTAAATTTAAATTATAAATAGATTTAATTTCATAACTTTTATTTTACACGTAAAATATTTATTTTATTTTATTTGTCAAGCTTTATTTTTTTCTTATATCTATAATATTTCATTTACCTAAGAGATTTATTTCAGCATTTTCTCATAACTTAAAAATAAATACGTTACATGTCTTTAAACTATTAACTGACGCTACTCTTTAACATTTTCTTTACAGATTTCCATATCACCTCCAGCCAGATTGCGTGCTTCCAATTACGTTTCCAAATAATATACACTCGTTTATTATGCACTTTCTGCAATTTGGTGCATGCAAATGAAAAGCTGAGAAAATAGTGAAAGAAAATTGCATGTCCGCAAATTAAATGATTTGCCATCAAATAAAACGTCAAATGTGCAAATAATACTTATTTACCGTTAAAGTGAATGAATGTCAGTGAGAAGAAAATCGCAGTTATTTACCAAAAGTGTTACCACAAGCGCATACACACAAACGTGTATTTGTATGTGTATTTATCGAAACCACAAAAGCAAAAAATATATTTTATTGGAATAAATGTTCTCCACTGAAACGAGACCACACAATTAATTACCCTAATATTTTTGTTCGAAAATCAGACATTCGAAAACAAAAAATTGATTTGTTCTTCATCATTCTTGTGATTAATTTTCGTTCATTTTTGTTTCAAATTTCCGTTGAAGTAAATCAAAATTTTTTTCTGTTTACATATAAATTAGTGCGTGTCAAAGCAGCAGCAGCAACAGCAGCGACTAAAAAAATTACGCGTCGCGTCTTCTTGTCCACATATACGTTCGATCAGCTTCGCTTTGCGTTCCCCGCACACGTGGCGACGAGACAGAAAAAAAGCTTTGTTTGTTGCATTTGAATTCGTCATTTCGTCATTTCGTCATCGATCGCGTTCGGGTAATCACTGCATCAGTAGCATCAGCGGCATCACAGTGTTTGCCAACGGTAATGAGTTTTAGTTCATACGCGACGTCAAACATTCAGCACAGCTGATAGCTATGAACGCGAATCAACACAGTGGGCCCGGTCCGCCGTCAACAAAAGTAATTGCAACGACAACAACAATGAATTCAGCAGCGGCTGCACATCATACATCGTATAACGGCATTGGTGGTGTTGTTGGAGGTGGTGCTGGTGCTGGTGCTGGGGCTGTTTTTTCTGGCAGTAGTGTGGGTGGTGGCGTTGATCAGGTTGATGCCTCAATTATGGCATCGAAAACATTTGCAACAAAGTGTGCAACATTAACACCCGCGACAACAACAAATACAGCAACATATGGCAGTATGAAAAGTGCTTACGCGGCTGTAACGCCAGCTGCAGCAACAGCAACATCAACGGTAACTAACGGTGTACACGGTGCTAATACGTCCAGTGCTAAAACAAATGGCTGCAGCAGCAATAGCAACAACAACAATGACAGCTGCAGCTCTAGTGCCAACGTCAGCAATGTTAATGTGAATAATCATTCAACGGCACCGCCTGTCGCCCGCACCATCTCGTCCGATCGCCTGGTGACAGGGCCGTCGTGCAAAGCGCTGCGAACCGCCGTGTCAGCACTTTACTCCGTCGACGATTTTGTCAAGGAGAAAATTGGCTCTGGATTCTTCTCCGAAGTCTTTAAGGTGAGTGCATAAGAAAAAAAAAGAGAATTAAGAGAAGNAATACATATATAAAAATAATAAAAAGTATAAATTAAAATGAAACTCAGTAAAATTAAATTGAAAATTAAAAATCTATTAAATTAATTCATATATTAACATGAAGTTATTTCATAAATATAAAAAAATATAATTACATGAAAAATAAATATCATTAATGAAAATTAATGAAGTTAGTAAATGTGTAAAATTAATAAACTAAAAAACACATTTTTCATATCAAAATCTTAAAAAGCTTATGAAACTCTCGTGCTACACTTAAAACACCAGCAGAGTCAATAACATTATAAGCGCCCATTGAAGTAATAAATAATGAGCTAAGTAGTGGAAAAAAATATATTTTTATTTTTAAAAATTAATTAATTGTTAAGGAAAAAACGCAAAAGCATAACTAACAATACCAAATACAATAACAACCGTTATTAATGGCCTTCGCCAGCCTGTCTGTGAAAATTCATAGCCAACACTTTCGTTTCGGCAAATAGGAAAATTTAAAAAAATACATAGATGAAAAAAAGTATATTTTGTATGGTATACGTGCATATATTTTTATAAGCGAAAAATGCAATGAGTGACTTGGACTTGTAAAATAAAATAAAAATGAATTAATGAATTGCTTTCTTTGCAAAAGATGCTCGCTTGTTTGTTGTCTGTTATTTATTGCTGATGCATTTCTCAACAAATCCGTCACATCAAATTAACAACAATGGTGGCGGCGCGCTCGTTGCAACATCCAACCAACCACCCATCTATACATCTATACGTCTTCATTGTGGCACCGATTAGTGAACTGTTCCCTGCCCAGTGCACTGTACATATGTATATAATTGCATACTTAAATATGATGTTGCACATATGCTACTTAGTTAATGCATACATACATACATATGTACAGATATATATATAGTGGTATGTCTACGTTGCATATACAACATGTTGCGCTTGAATTAATTCCCAACCGCGCCACATATTCAACAACAATCGCACAACAATGCACTCATTCCATTGCAGTTGCAGTTGCATTTGCCATTGTTAGCATTATTATTAACGCTATTGTTGTTGTTATAGTCTACTGTTGCTGTTGTAGGCTGGTAAAAGTGAAAATTATCCAATCGAATAGCAATGCATTGTAGAAAAAGAAAGAAATAAAGAAAGTTGTTTCACAATTTATACTTTATATTACAATTACTTATGTACATTTGTATGCATGTATGTATGTATGTACTAAATCTATGAAGTTTATTTTAATTTTAATTACCTGAAGCTAGTTACCGTTAGTTAGTTAGTTACAAATGCTTTAGTTTTTGTTTCATAAATAAAATGCTCCATTGAATTGGTGAAACCGTGGCAGCGTAAATTTTCCAAAAATATTTGCTTACAATACTAACCTTTTTAAAATATGCGTGAATTTCCAAAGAGAAATTATGTATTTGAGCTTTACAATAACATCTCGTTCAATTAAAATTTTGATTTTTTAAAACAGTTGATTGAACTCTGCTAACTCGATTTGGCTAACAGAGAGAGAGGAAGATATGGAGGAAAATATGTTATTTTTAGTAGGAAGCAAGGCTTTTATGACCCACTCTGGAGGGATTTTTTGAAAATGTTGTCCAGGCAGAGAAATGCATCTTCTACGTAATTTAAGGTGTGGACGCAGACTCCTTTTGGAACGACTGATGTTGAAAGTTTTTGGAAAGTGAAAAACGACACTGTCTGTCAGTGCCTAGGAATGCCAAACTTTTCATTAATCACGAATTTCCCTGGCAATTGTCATCTCTTCTACTTCCTTTCACATTTCTGTTTTAACTAAATTCTCAAAGATAAATGTTAATTTCAAATTATCTACTCGCATTAAATAACCCGTGTCGACACTCTTGACCACCGTAATTATTTCAATTACAATTAATTTGTGAAAACTAAATCATTTCCATACAACATTTACTGATTTTCTGAACATTAAAAAAATCGTAGCAAATATTCGGTCAACTGAACGGTAAATGAATGGCAGCCACTTAATCACAGCAACTTCATCACGATTTGAGTGTGGCAAGAGTCTGCTGTTGAGTTGGCGTGCTGCGACACAAGCAATCTTTGCGTTGCCTATTAAGAGCTAGAAGCAGAAGAAAAAGAAACTCTCACCATCGCATGCAAATCAGCATGAAATGCAGCAATAAAATTACGAAAATAGACAAACAAAAAAAAAAAAGAAGAAAACGAGTAGCAAATCCGACGGTTTGCTCCGGTGATCAATCGCCGCTTCTCGGCCGAGACCAGGGAAATCTTAACCTTTACTTGATGAAGGCATATTTTGATGCATTACTTTTTTTTATTATAAAATAAATATTTAAATAAATGAAAAATAAAAATTGTCAAAAAAATTAAGACAAAAAATATTAAAAATATAAATAAGTAATAACAAAAATAATTAAAATAAACAAATAATTGAAAAAGCAAAACAGGAAAAAATATTAAGGAATGTAAATAATAGTAAATAACTAAACAAAAAATTAAAAAAAAAATAAAAAAAATTAAAAAAGAAATAAAAAAAATTAAAAAAGAAATAAAAAAAAATTAAAAAAAAAAAATAAAAAAAATTAAAAAAAAATTAAAAAAAAAAATTAAAAAAAAAAATTAAAAAAAAATTAAAAAAAAAATTAAAAAAAAATTAAAAAAAATAACTAAAAAACACAGATTGAATTTAAAAGAAAAAAATAAGAAAAACGAAAATGTTTAAAACAATTAAAATTAATATTAAAAAGGTAAAGGCAAATAATAAATAGAAAGTAAATTAGAGTTGATCATTAATAATAAGTAAATTTAAAATTATAAAATGCAAAAAAAGCAAAATAAAGTCAAAAACCAAAATTAATGGTAAAAATGAATAGATTGAAAAATTAAAAATAAGTAAATTGGAATTAAATCAACAAAATCACGAAATAAAAAAATTTAAATTAAAATTAAAATGAATAAAATAAAAAATAAAAAAATTAAAATAAAAAAATAAAGAATGAAAAAATTAAAAAAAGTAAAATAAGGGAAGTAGACAATTAAAAAAAATATAAATTAAAAAAAGAAAAACTTTATAAAAAATAATATAAATTAAAAAAAATATTAATTAAAAAAAAAAACTTTATAAAAATTAATATAAATTAAAGAAAATATAAATTAAAAAAAATATAAATTAAAAAAAATATAAATTAAAAGAAATATAAATTAAAAAATATATAAATTAAAAAATATATAAATTAAAAAAAATATAAATTAAAAAAAAATATAAATTAAAAAAAATATAAATTAAAAAAAATATAAATTAAAAAAAATATAAATTAAAAAAATATAAATTAAAAAAAGTATAAATTAAAAAAAGTATAAATTAAAAAAAATATAAATTAAAAAAAATTCTAATTAAAAAAATATGAATTAAAGAAATTTAAATTAAAAAAATATAAATTAAAAAAATATAAATTAAAAAAATATAAATTAAAAAAATATAAATTAAAAAAATATAAATTAAAAAAATATAAATTAAAAAAAAAAGAAATTAATCTAAAAAAAAATAAAAAAGAAAAAAATTTAAGAATTGAAAAAAATATAAATTAANTGAAAAAAATTAAAAAAAAAATAGAAAATTAAAAAAAAAATAGAAAATTAAAAAAAAAATAGAAGATTAAAAATCAAAAAAAAATAAGAAAATAAAAAATTAAAAATTAAGACATAAAATTAAAAAAATGGAAAAAATTAAAAAAATAGAAAAAATTAAATAAAAATAAAAAAAAGAATAAAAAAATTGAAAAAAAACTATAAAAATAAAAAAAATTAAAACAAAATTAAAAAAAATATCAAAAAAAAATTTAAATTCAAATGAATTGGGAAAAATATGGGAAAAATGTCATCATGAATAATAAAAATTATAAAAAAATTAATTAAAAAATTAAAAAAAAATAAAAATTATTCAAAAAATATTCAAAAGAATTGAAAAAAATTAAAATATTAAAAACTAGTCATAGAAAATAAGAGAATAAATAAAAACTTATATATGCATTGGCACTCAACGGGTTAAGAAGCATTGATTCTTTGTATCATTAAGTTTCTTACAGTCTTTTTATGTTAGCAGATATTTTCTGCTGCTATTTTCCACTATTTATCCGCGTGTAGAAAATCGAAAATACAGTAACAACAAATATACACACAACACAATCCAACATCTATTTATTGTATCTATCTGCAACCATGGCTCTATTCGACGCAAAAGCAGTCATCTAGCAAGTTCTACATCGACTGAATCAAACTAGAATTGAGTCGGTGTTCTCCTTAGTCTTTTTTTCTCCAGCCAAAAAGGCGGTCAAAAGTGTGAGGCTGAAAGCCAGCAGTTGCCACAACCAACTATGGCGTCCAAGAAGCGGACAACAATAAAGCTTTTACAGCAATAAAATCGCGGCGTGAGTTTACAAACAGCTTGCACTTAATTTGAGACGATCGATGGCTGGACCACCTTGTCGGTTCAGCATTTTGAATTCTTAGTCAAACTAAGCCAGGCTCTGTCAGCCGGCTGGTGTGGGCTATTGTTTTCCGCCGGATAGGCCGGCACCCCACTGTGTTCCGTATTTCCGCACCGCCCGCTGCTTGGGGAGGCAGCTAGTGATCGCGGTCGCCGTCGTCTCACTTCAGCACATCAACAACAATAAATCCTAAACGTGCAACGCGCCGAAAAACGCTTGTGCATTGTGCACAACAATGCAATTTTCTGTAGAGCATAGCATATAGCATGGTAATTTCAAACCGCCAGCTGTGTCTATGCCTGGCTATAAAACCAGCGTAGAATTTGCCACAGAATGGTAAAATGAGAGCTGCTGCCGCATTGAGCTTTGCTTTTGGTTGTTTCGTTGCTGTGTTGAAGCTGTGAATTATGCAGTGCAGGCTAGCTGACTGACCTGATGTGGTGTGAGTGGGTGTTTTTGGTGCAC